TCATATTTTTGTGTTTTTAAAAAAAAATACATATGGTTCAGAACGGATTAACTGTATTTACATTGAACCTTATGGGAAAATTTGATTTGGGTCGTGACCAATTCGGGTCATGACCAGAGTTGTGGAACGAATTCAGTTCATGACTCGAGGTACCCCTGTATCAACAAATCAATTTGCTAAAAGCATGGGAGCAGATGTTGGTCCAGAAGTTGGTTGGTCTAGTTAAGACCAACAGTTCCTGCAAGGGAATATACACTCCTGCCAAAGTCTCGTCAGTCTTCTCTCCTCCCAGACCTCGACTGAACTGCCAGGTACCTACCACCACGACATGCTTGGATAATGACCACCTTGGGCTTTCCCCTCAAAGCCGGGCAATTCTTGTTGTTGAAGGTGGAGAAGATAGTATTGATGGAGAAGCTGTCACACTGTCTGCCTTTTGAATGGACTCCACAAAGGCTGCCCTGGAAGCCATGAGACATGAGTACCACAAACATCCCATCTGAAGCTTTGTGCTCCTCCCGAGCTGCAAAATTCTCCAAGCAAGTGGTCATATCCTGAAAGCAATGAACCGGGAGGGTAGATTAGGAGTGGAAATGTAGTTTCTAGCTAACTCTGGACCAACATTTAGAATTGGGAAGGAATAGGGGTAGCCTTCCTGCAATGGCACTATATTTTAATATTATTCAAGCACAGTAAGAATTCAGTGCAGAAACAATCACCGCCCTTTCCTCTCTAGCTGTGAATGGGAGGCCTGTGCAGCTAATGCTAAACCTGCAATTCATGCTAAGTTTGAACACCATCTCAGATATGGAGATGGGGGAGTCCTGTCTTCATGGGTGACCTCATCATGCCCTCTAGAAGAAAAGAAAACATCATGGCCAGTGCAGTAGTATATTCTCAGTGGAAAGTTAGCCTCAACTGTTTTTTGGAGAAATGAGAGATGGAAAAGGACACAATATGCTGGCATTTGAAATTAAGAGTTTAAGAACGAGTTCCATTCCCAAGGTCTGTCCTTAAATCGAATTGTATGTAAACCAGAGCAGTATTATTGTATAATACTGTATAAGTAATATTGTGTAATGAACTCGAACCATTGTGTATTTAACTCAAATCCTAATGTGTTTAACTCAAATTTTGCTACAATAGGCTCCGTTCTTAGCTATGGGTCGTCTGTAAACTGGGCTTTCTTAACCCAGGGACTACCCATATACTGTATAAGTAATATTGTGTAATGAACTCGAACCATTGTGTATTTAACTCAAATCCTAATGTGTTTAACTCAAATTTTGCTACAATAGGCTCCGTTCTTAGCTATGGGTCGTCTGTAAACTGGGCTTTCTTAACCCAGGGACTACCCATAGTACAGAAGAGGATGTTCAGCTACTGAGCAGGCATATTTTTCCTTATACTAAATTGGGTATAAACAACTAGGTAACCTCCAGGTCTTTGGACTTGAGATCCCATCAATTCCAACCAGCATGGCCACAAGCAAGGACTTGCCGGGTTTGTAATTTAAAGCAACCACAAAGTATTAGATTGCCTGCACCTATGCTAAATATTATAGACAGCAGTTTAACAAGATAGAATAATAAATAAATAAATAAATAAATAAATAAACATGGCAATTTTGAAGCCACCTAACTAAAAGTGGGCAGCTGGAGTTAATATACATATTAAAGGGCAAAATTAGAATTTCCATACCCATTCCTTGAATGTTTAGCTTTCATTTAAAGCCACTAGATTTTTTTCCTTGAGTAACAAACTGAATTTTACTCTGTAGAATGGTTCCATCTGATTCAGCTTTTTTACCTGTGAGTTTAAGTTGGTCTTTACGTCCACGTTGTATCCTAGACCTTCCAAGAGAAGCTTCATCTGTTCCAGGTCTACGTCAGCCCCTTCTCTATCTGGTAAGTGATCAAATTTGATATTGCAGATAATCAAGGCCAAGCGCATACGAGTCCTGGGATCCTTGATAGGATAGATCTGTATGGGAAAACAAAAGTAATTCTCATCCTGAACTATAGTTATGCCAAGCATCCATCTAGTTTAGAGCCCTCCCAGTTCTTATCAGTCCTAGCAAGTGGTAAGGGATCCTGGAAACTAGTTCAGCAGCATTTGAATGGCCTTGATGGCTCTACTGCAAACAAGGCTGAAAGACACAACAGTTTTGCTATTACTCAGAATTTAGTGTCCAGAGATGATTTGAATCTGAAGATTTGTTCCACTTAACCATAAAAATAATCTTCCTAGAGCAGACCCAAAATAGTCTGGCTTCCTGTTTCCCATAGTGAGTGGCTAGATACTTGAAGAAACCCACAAGCCTGATTTGAAGGCAAGACTTCTCCTTCTGTCATTTAACCAGCAGCAAATATTCAGAGGACATGGCAATTCTATGGAGCCACAGAATCCATGAGTTGTCTATCGTCTAGTTCTACTTTGAAAGCTAACCAAGGTATTGTAGTGGCTTACATTATATTTAATAGAAGCAAATTTCATGCTGCCCATTTTATTTAATGTTAGATATGGAACAACAGAGGATTCCCAACACATTTTTCTGCTTTAGAAATAAAATAAGGTAATCTTTCCAAAAGCTAGGATGAGGAGAATTTAGGAAATATTCATAATTTCTGCTACAAAAGGATGAAGCTAATTTATCAATTCACATCTGTGGCTACCTTTGCAGGAGCTACTACATGTAATAAATTGCAATATTTTGGCTCAAGTCTTGTCTGGATCTAACTAGGTCTGTCAACGTACCTCTTTGCCTTCACTAGCCTGTATCTTCTGAAACAAGTTCAGAGGACAAAGCATGATCCCATTTCTGGATTCCAGGGATGGGACTTCTTCCTTTGAGATATTGCCTTCTGTTGACTGGCAAACTGGAGATGGGAGGAAAGTCGAACACCAGATTCAATTTTTTGCCACAATGAATTCTTAAATATCACATGGGTCAGAATCTGCCCCTTTAGATTGCTAAACGACAACTCCTAGCAGCCCCTTTCAGAATAGCCTGTAATGAGGGGTAGTGGGAATTGTAGTACAACATTCACAGGGACACTTGTTTTCTTCCATGGATGTAAGTAAAAAAGGAAAGTTAGCTCTAAAAGGTCTAAAATCAGTTAGCAGTTAGCAAGTCTGGGCCCTGGGAGAGAGCTCGTCCTCCTGCTTATTCATTCCATTGCCATAGCAGATCTAAAAAATACACAGGGAATTAAGCAGCTTGAACAGGGCTGCTGGCAAAGGACAGCTGTTAAGACCTTGGCCTTCCCTCCACGTTGCTAGTCTCCAAGAAAGCCTACAAGGTCCCTACCAGACACTAACTAGAAAATTAGATGATAACTTAATGCCCAGCCTGAAGCCTCCCAACCTTGCTGGTTCCCATGGCCTACCTTCTGACCTATCGCTTCAAATGAGCAATTGAGGAAGAAGGAGAAGAAGGCCTGCTTCTAGTCCATACTACTCCCTAGTCCATACTAAAGTAAAGGAGAGTTTTTATAAGAGAAGACACGATGAAGCTAATTAAAAATAGGAAGGCACTTAAGTTTCACGTACCTGTATCTTAGCATGTAGAAGCATTTGTAAGAATGTGCTCCTAAAAAGCAGGGAAATACCATCTTATGGTAAGGTTTCCTTTCAAAATGGTTTAATACACCAATATGGCCAAACCTAACCAGCCCAAGCAGTTTGGGGCACATCACAAAGTCTTTTGTGGGCTATAGCAACTGAATTAGGGGGGCGGGGGAGCTAGAGAATGTGTGATGAGATCACGCGTACCTGACAGAAAGTTTTGGAGACCCAGTTTTTCAGCTAAGAAAGCATCACGGGCCTGGAGGAAGATAATCAAGAAGCGGCTAGCTTCAGGCCCCTTACTCCGTACATGATCAATCAATAATCTTGCTTGGCTCCGCTTCTTAGCGTTCTCCTTCACTTCGTCCACCTCTTCATCGTTCAGGACCTTCTCACTGAGCAGATCATCCAGGAGCTGGCTGATGACAGGCTTGTTAATACTTTCTACAAACTGTGTGCGCACTTCCATCAACTTCTTGTCTATAAGGAAAACAAGTGCACTTCTCTAAAGTTGTCCCATTGACTTGGAGAATCACAATTTCACTGAGATAATTCACAATGCTGAATCTTGGATTCAAATCCCACCTTATCCATTTACATATGGGGAGTATACTCTCACTGTATGTGTAGAAATGTGTACAAAAATGCCAGAATGTGGTTTGTTAACTTAGTGTGCCATGCAAACCACAATATATGATTAATCACATTAGGATTCAGTGTGACACGTAAACCAGATTTTTGCTTGTTTCTGTGTATACTTTCTTCTCTCCAATCAGATACTGGGATTACAATTCCTATAATTCCAAACCAATATAAGCCTGGAAGACACCGGACTGGGGGAGGCTGCCTTATGTGTACAGTTACTTGGAAGTAAGCCTCATACAACTTATTGGATAAAAATAGGACCAAGAAGTTAAAATATAAGCTTCTACAGTATATACAAGTGGTCCCAGGTTAAGAACATCCAGTTTACAGATGACCCATAGTGAAGAACAGAGCCTATTGTAGCAAAATTCAAGTTAAATACACAATTGTTTGAGTTCATTACACAATATTACTTATACAGTATTATACAATAATACTGTTCCAGCTTATGTACACATTTGACTTAAGGATAGACCTTGGGAAGAGAACTCATTCTTAAACTGGAAACTACCTGTATTGTCTCAGATTAGCCCACTTTCCTGCCCAGAGGACATTCAGGTGTGACCTGTGACTGGATTTTATGTGGAATTAAATATTAAATTAAAATAGGATTCTGTAGAAGATGAAAAAAGGTGATGCTGGACTCTATCTAACCCCCCCCCACACACACACACATGCTAGGATACTGTTCCCACAACACACTTAACAAATCAGTTAAATACCACCAGTGGCTGATTTGTACCACATGCTAAGCTTGTCTAATGTCAATCTGGGTTTGCTTTTTTGGCTTAGCATGTAAATCTTGTCCATTTTGGTTAGCTTATGATTCACTATCTTGTATAAGCACACAAAACGAATTACTTCAGAAACCAGGTAAAATGTGTGAAAAGAGCCCCATTTTCTCCTTCCCTCGTGCATAGCCAAATACCTTGATGGAAGTTGTACCTTGAGGACAAAGTGATCAAAATAAATCACACCAGGTAAGCTGAAATTCATTTGGGGGAGAGCAGGGAAATGTAGGTGTCAGCTCCTTACCACCTAAATGCATTCAGTGGAGGTACAGAGTAAGACCCATCTCAATTCGAGCGGCCTCTGCAGTTGGCCGCTGGGTCCTGAGAAAATAAGAGGGAATCTCTTCCCTTTGTTGTCAATCAGACTTGACTGATGTTGACCCATGGGTCAAGTGAAAGAGAATAGTGAGGAGAATGAATATCAGTTGCAGAGGGATGACTCTCTTCCCTGAAAAGCAGTGGGTAGGATCTACTATAAGTTCCTTTATAATGAGTCAAATCATTGGTCCAATGAGCTCTGTATTATCTCTGTCAGGAATCCCCAACCTTTTGGGTTGGTTGGAACATTTGAAATTTTGAGAGTATACTGTAGACCAGTGTTTCTCAACCTTGGCAACTTTAAGATGTGTGGACTTCAACTCCCAGAATTCCCCAGCCAGTAAGCTGGGGAAACATTGCTGTAGACACCAACAAAATGAAGGAGGAAGGTTTGCCCATTCACAAAAAGGCTGTAATAGTTTGTGTGGTCAATCACCATCCCCATTTACTACAAGGCAAACTGGTGAGTCACTCCCTAGTTCCCTTCCTAGCCCACCAGGGTGGTCCCTATCATGCAGGTGCACTTCCAGACAAAACACTGAGCTGCACTCACCTCCCTTTTTGATTTTCTAAGAACATCTATTGGGTCCAGAGCATTCTTAAAAATGCTAGTGTTCATTGATTGATTGATTCATCCATCCATCCATCCATCCATCCATCCATCCATCCATCCATTCATTCAAAAGAAGGACAAAAAAGTCAAGTGGAGCCAGGAGCCTGGTGAATGCCAAAAGATTGAGTTTCTAGGCAAGTTGGTGCTTGCAGGCCCTAATTATTAATCCCAGATCTGTTCATATTGGCAGGGGCTGTTTTAGAAGAGAGATCTCTTAAGTATGGGGGTTCTTTTTCTGGTATGCAAATACAGTGACAGTAGAAAAGATCTTGACTTCCAATTACCACAGAGTCATAGAATCATAGGGTTGGAAGGGACCTTGGAGGTCTCTAGTCCAACTCCCTGCCCAAGGCAGGCGTCCTCATACCATCTTGGACAAATGGTTGTCCAATCTTTTCTTGAAAACCTCCAAAGTCATTGTGATGTTATAGAGGACACATCATCCCTTAAAAAGAAAGGGGACTTTCTTCTAAAAAGACTCCACTTGATTCATGGAAGTGAACCAAACTGAATGGCATGTAGGGGGAGAGTTACACTGATCTATAGCTGAAGGAGCACGTGTGTCAGAATCCTCACAATCAGCCAACTGGCTAGCTTGCTTGCTGCGTTTCTGCCATTGTAGATGGGGGGGGGGACGGGGGTGCCATGCTGGGGAGGAGCCGTTAGAAGCAGATGGGCTGTTATCAGATTCTCAAGAATGCTCAAGGTCGTACCAACGGGTGATGGAGAAGAGGACTGGGAAAGCTGGCGGGGGGGGTGCACTAAGAAATGGGTAAAAGTAACTTTTTGGCATGCGTGGGCTTAGTCTTAGCAATGTTTTGGACCTGTACACTACTTCTCAATAAATGAACTTTTCTTTGAACCCATATCGGTTCCACGGAGAGTTTCTTTCGTTGGGAGGTGGAGGTGACAGATCGTTGCACCTCCTACTCATGGAGGTGACAGATCGTGTGCACGTGCCTCCTCATACGCACTTGGTTACACAAAGGCAGGCAGACAAGAGGCAATCTAGTTTAGGAATAAAGTTCTTTTTGTATCTTGCAAGACACGGATGGGGTGGATGGAAAAAGGAAGCTTCTTTCTCGCGTGCTATTGAAGGGATCAAAAACTAAATTGGCAATATTTAAATTGGCAATGTTAACTTCATAGCTTTAGAGTATGCACAGAGTTCTCTATAGCCAAGCTTCAATACTAACAGCACTTAGCGAAATTGCAAGAGGAAGCAACTAACCACAGACGAGCTAGCTCAGATAATAGGGGAAACTCCTCCTGAAGAGACTAAGTCTGAGGCCTGATAAGAGGAAGGAGGACCCAGAACAAGGGTCTGCAGGGACTGACAAGTTATAAGAGTTAGGGGGAACTCCTTTAAATTAATGTAAGCAAACAAGGGTGGGAAATAATGTATTCTGTTTAAGTTCCTTTGACTGGCTGTAAAACTCATCTTCATTATAATGGTACTAAGTTCTGCCCTTTTAAAAATACTATAAAAGTCTGTGTTTTTGTCTCCAAGGGTGTGCCACCCTGCTCTCTCTTGGTGCATGGTGTGGGCACCCAGATTTTTGCTTGGCCAAATTATGCGCTGTTTAGAGAAGTCTCTGCTTGAAGTCTTTTATTTTGGGCTGCTGATTGATTTCAAGTTTTCTGGGTAGCCGAGAACCTTACACTATTTTTGAAAAATGCAGAGCAAGAGAACGAAAAGGAAACAGTGCAACTGCCACTCCCGCCTCTTTCAGGATTTAAGATTTTAAGCAAGAGTAAAGGAGGAGGGAAGCATCTGTGATCTTACCGGCCATGACACCTCAAGATTCAGCTGATATGTGACAGTGATGACAGCAAAAAGAGCCACAAGATTAGCAGCAGTTCCAGCTCTGAGCAACTGTGAAAGTGAAAGAAATCACACTAATTGAAGTGTTTTCCCTCCCATGAACTGCATTGGGAGAAAGAGGCTGGCCCAACTGTGTGGGAGCGGCCGGGAAACAAGACACCCACGGAGGCATTTTGTGGAAATTGCCAATTGGCTCAAGAGGAAATAATTTGCCTTCTCTTGATCTTTCAATAGCTGGATACACCTGGCTCTCACATTTCATAATATAGATTTGGTCTCATTTGCTTTTTGTATGAGAGGGACACACTTTGGTTATTTTCATGCAATAGAGAAAGAGGGAAGGATGTTGCAAAACTGCATTGGTTTAAAAGTTGTGCCAAACAGAGGCAGAGGTTTCCCTTTTTCTTGCAGAGGGTGCAACTGGCAGTATCTCCTCCAAGACGATGCTTCTAGGACATATGCAGGCGCACAGGCAGGCTAAGTAAAGCATGCTTCGTGCTTCAAAATTGATTTGCTTTAAATGTTTGATTACGCACCACCATTTTCAACTCTTAGTGACCCCATAGGTAAGATTTTCTCCATGTTTAACATTAGTTTATTCAAAATGATTCTCTCCTGCTTCCTGTGTTTGAAAAAGTTCAGCTCGGTGGACCTGCCACATTTGGTAGCAGCTATTCTACCAGGCTGCAGCAAAGGAAATGCAGAAAGTTGGGCCGTTCCCTTGGCTCTGCAGAAAAATCTGGCTTGTCCCCGAGTTCTTTCCATCTCAGCTGACATCGTAAGAATGCCTGGCTCTCAGTCGGAATTGGATGTTTGCTGTTTTCTTCTTCCCTGCTTTTTTCACTGCCTTTTATGCAATTCTTTTTTAGATTGCAAACCAGGGAGGGAGGGAGGGAGGGAGGTATAAAAATCTTCAGATGAAAGATTTGAATACTCTCTCAAAGTGGTTAACAAATCTTTGACTTTTAAAAAATGTATACAATAAATTAAACTGTATTACAAACCAAGAAAACAGCCACGATATTAACAGTTAATTGTTTAATTGGCTGCTCAACAAATACAGTAATACCTTGGTTCACGAACGCTTCCGTTCACGACTAATTCGGTTCACGAACAGCACCATTCGCAAATTTTTGCTTCCGTTCGCGAACTCCGCATCGGGTGACGAACACGACCCGTGGCCATCTTCTCTGCTCTGACACGTGGTCATGGCTTCCTCTAGGCGAGATCGCGGTCACAGACAGACACTTGCTGTGAAGCTTTTTGGTGTCACCTCAAGGTTAGTGTTCTCTCTCTTCATACTGTACTGTACTGTACTTTGTTTCATATATTTGTGATTAAAAAAAATACATATGGTTCAGAACAGATTAACCTTATTTACATTGAACCTTATGGGGAAATTCGATTTGGTTCGCGACCAATTCGGCTCACAACCAGAATCGTGGAACGAATTAAGTTTGTGAACCAAAGTACCACTGTACTGATTCTGTTATAAAATGATAAAGTTTGTTGTGATGGGGCCAGATGGCCTTTTGGGAGCATTTTATTCCACAACTGCCACATCAAGATGAAAAATATTTCTTCCTTGTACCCTTTGCCCTCCTTTTCAGTTGACTGAGATAGAGTTCTGATCCCAACTCTTCAGGTCTTTTAAAATACTTAAAGTACTATTACTTTTAAAATATTTGAGTCAGGTTCAGAACAAGCTGGTAACCAGGAAATGTACCTTAAAACTGGATTTCTAGTATTTTGATATGTTCTGTGGGACTGAAGTTGCCAAGCACTTCTTAAAGACAGTGACACCACCTAAGAAGTTCATTTCCTCACACTCCCAAAAAATGGAACAGGGCTTTCCTTTCCTTTTGCTGAGCCTGTAAAGGGCTCACTGTTTGCAAAGAGTGTGAGACTCATTGCACAGGAGAGATTTCTGCACGATGCCAGCCTGGTGTAATGGTTAAAGTGCTGGGCTAGAAACCAGGAGCCTGTGAGTTCCAGACTTCCCTTAGGCATGAAAAGCGACTGGGTGACTTTGGGCCAGTCACTCCCTCTCAGCCCAACCTACCTCACAGGGTTCTTGTTGAGGAAAATAGGAGACAGGAGTACTGTATTATCTATGTTTGCTGTCTTATATATAAAAAAGACAGGATAAAAATCTAATGATCTAGTAATAACAACAACAGCAACAATTCTATAACATGCATGGAGCCATTTAAAAGCAGTGAAGAGGTCTTGCTGCTTTCCAAGACTGAGATGGGAAACATTTTTGAACCTTACATTGGGCCAGCCCATTCTCCTAAAAATGTTGGGCAGTCTGCAACTGGTGGAAAAGACTACAGAAGATGGGGACAATCAAGGACAGGAGACAGCAGGAGTCATGTTGATGATCTGCAAAAGGTGAATGAATTAAGCACGGTGATTTCTCACTAAACACCTCACTTGGATGCTCCTCCAGCTTAGAACAATTCATAAGAACAGCATACACACACTAGTAAGGAAAGTTGCTATAATTTTATGTGTCATTACCCAAACCACTATAATCCTTAGAAGTCCTTTCTTTCCCATTATTTGGAATATCACAAATACTGAGTGTGCAGATTGCTCACAAATTCCTTGCCGTGGATTAGTTTAGATTTCTCCTTCTTTCAAAAGTGGTCCTGGGTTACAGCAAGTACAAAAATAGGCATTAAGTAAATAATTCACTATTTAAAAGCCTGTGAATAATCCAAACAATAGCAAAGGTGTATAGCTGAAATTTTTCTTTCTTTCACCTTCAAGGACCAGCAGTAACCTAAAGAGTTGGTTATGACTGGATTGTTATTACTTTGGATCAATCACCTTTAAAGGAGTATTGTCTAAAGACGCCTATCTCCTTCTTGATTATATGTCTAGTGTTATCAAGACATCAAGAACTATGGATTGGGGGCTGGTTGAACCATTATGAAACACTGGAGGGTGAAATCTATACCTCACCTGGAGCAATGAGTTGTCAGTGTGGTGTTTGTCAATATTTGAAGTAACGTTTTTTGGTAGGATATTAAATAAATTAATAAATAATACATAACTAAAGATATGTACATAGACCAGAATTCTGTTAACCAGGAGAGGATTATCTTATTTAGCAGATGCTATCTAGTTGAATAAATGGATAAGATTCCTAGGGTCTCAATATCTATTTGCTCACTTAGGTCAGAGGTGGGAAACCTCTCTGTTGAAGACATATTCCATTAAGAGTAACCTCCTGGAGTCTGGGTTGAATAATTGGCAGAGCTGGAGCGAGTGGTTGATTGAGCCACAGCCAAAAGTGGGTGAGACCAGACAGTTCTGCTTTCTGACACTCCTTTTTTCTGACATCCCTCTTTTCTTTCATTCTCTGACTCCCACTTCTACCTCTTCCAGGCATTAGATCACCAGGGAAGGGACTGGCAATTTGATCGAAGCGCTGAATGGATCACTTATATGGAGCTTTAGAAATTAGGCCAAGAGCTACATACAGCACTATGTCCATAAACTGCCTCCATTTCTTTAGGAGGCTGGAGATGTTGCTGCTGCTGCTGCTGCTGCTTCCTCCTCCTCTTCTCTCTCTCTCTGGAAACAACATGAGCTGTTCTACTTATTTCTGGTTCCTTGGCAAGGCTTTGATTGCTTATTTAAAACTAAAACCAAACACTATTTTATTTAATATTAAATACTGTACAAAGAAGGAGATATATGGAGTAGGTGGCATTCCAGCCACTGCACGGTTCTGATTGCCAATTCGTACCAAGGACTCAGGACTTCCAGGATAATGACAGCAGGGACTACAAAAATGGTGAAAAACCAGCTGGAGAATAGTAGTTATCCAACTGACCATTCAGCAAAAGGCATTCAGATCAATGCGAAAACTCCTATTCCTCCAATATTGAGAGGATATTTTGTGAGGATCCGTTTAGAAATACTAGATCGGATGGAGTGCAAGGAAGTTGCAAATGGCAGTGATGAATTTTTGGGGTTGATCCGCATGAACCCAGTGCCCTGCATCAGGAACATGCTGGACTTCAGCATCAGGGAAGAGCCGTTTGATCTCAGGGTAGTTATGGGAGCTGCAGAAAAATAGACACAGAAATGGGAAAGAAATAGGAAAAATTACCTACTTGGAGTAACAGTTTTTGGGTATATAAATTATATTAATCAATATAATATAACAATAAAATAACAGCTTTGGGCTATATAAATTATGTGACTAGTCTGTGAAAGAGAGAAACTAAATGGCAGTGAAAAACTAAACTCAGTGAAAAAGGACCTTGTGATTTCAACTCTTCCTAAAAAGCAAGGTGAAATAGTAGACCATTCTGCAATCTAAATCAAAATAAAACAGAGGGACTATGATAGAAACAGCCTCAGAATCCAGACTATGATTAATTTACAAAATACCTTTGGTCTAGATGTGGCAAAATGCAGCTCAGATTAAATCATGCCTATGTTCAAAAGCATCATCTGCAGACACTCAGCAGGGCAAAGTTATCTTTTGGGACATGTAGATTATATTCTACTATTTATTAGAAATTTTTTGATGTGCAATGTAAAAACAGGTTTCAGGCTGCAACCCTGCAGATATTATTCTAAATGAAGCTCCAAATTGCCTACCTAATATAGCCAGATTTGGAACCCCCAAGAAAGAGAGTAGGCCCTAGATAAGATGTCTGGAAGTCAGGGAAACTCATGAGTTCGTTCAGGTGCTGCGAAATGGCCTCTAGATTCACACGCCATACAAACTGGTCCTCAGAATTCACTAGATTGGTGAGTAGAAAGTAGAGGATGGTTGGCTCCTACACAGAAAAAAGTAAAGTCACTGGGATGAATGTGAAACATAACCCATGGGCAGTTATTTTGTGCAAGTACATTCAATTCAAACTGAATCCAGTACAGGTAGTCTTTGTTTAGCAACTGCCTCGTTTAGCGACTGTTCAGAGTTACAACAGTGATGGAAAGTAACTTTATGACCAATCCTCACATTTACAACCTTTGCAGGTCTTTAAAGCAAAGGAAAGCTGAAGTAAGATCATAAGCACAGTCATGGTTTCAGTTAGCGACCACTTTGCTTAATGATTGAGTTGTGGGTCCCAATTGTGGTCACTAAATAAGGACTATCTCTAAATTGATTTACACATTGTCTCTTTAATATGGTCAGATGGTTATACATGTCCAACTCTGAAAAATGATATATTCTGTTTGAAGAAAATATCACAACAGTATCTATCAGGACTATTCCTTGTCCCACACTTTTACAAACCTCATTAGAAAGAAGAAGTAGCTTATGGCATGTGTAACTTGTGATCTCCAACAAAAACATTTTACCTGAATAGTTGGGCGCAGTTGTTCTTCGGCCAGACGGCGTGCAGTGGAACGAGGAATACCTCTAGGGATATCCACTGCTCTCATGGCAGCAATGAAATCCTGAAAACCACTGATATCTTTCGTTTGGCTAGGACTGATATCAACACACACTAAGCGCTCCACCAGCTCTGGCTGCAAAGGAATGAATTTGGGGAAAGAAAAAGAGGTCCCGGGAATCATTGGCTGAAAGAGCTGTCACACTAGTCCCTAGCCTAGCCTCTGATAAGAATTCTAAGCTAGGGACAGATAGAGAGAAGTGTATCAGACAAAAATTGTTATTCTGCATCAGTTTCCTTCATAGACATTGTAAGAATGAAAGGGAATGACATTTTAGAAAAAGAGATGCAGAGCCTTAGGTCTGACTAGAATCTACGTCCTCTGTCCCCTAATCCCAGAGGAGAATGGGCCAACCGTGACTAACATGTACTGCATATGTACCACAGCATGCTCTTCTGAGTGTAGTGACTCTAAAAGAGGAAGGATCAAGTTATATTTAAAAATTGTAGAAATTACCTACAAGTCTGTTGTGAGTGCACAAATTTATTGAATTTTATAAAACTCTTATCTCCCCCACCCCAGAAAATTATATGTTGGCTGTTCTTGTTATTTTTGAAATATATAATGTTGAGGTACTTCAGTCCCTATCTGTCTATGTGTTTTGAGCTTGTACAACTGTTTAAGTGTGGGACTTTGTAGCTAAAAAAAAAAGAGGAAATGTGTTTTAAAGCACATGTTATATGCTGTGGCTTCAGACAAAAATATATTTTTTTAAAAGCCTGGGTTGTGGAAACAAATTATGCAAAATGAGATTAAATTCATTGATTTATTTGGTGTCATCATGTCAGTGTCTGTTAGCAACTGCACAAACAGACCTTCTTCAGGATTATCTGTCCTCAACCTGGTCCTTCAGGTCTTCCAATGGTGTATCCCATCCTCTTCCCTTTCTTCTCACCTTTCTTAGCATTATAGGCTTATCTAGAGAGCTAGGTCTTCATTTAGTGTCCCAAATATAATCTGAGCCTGCTGATTTGTGCTCTGAGTGAGAACTCTGGATCAATTTGTTCTATGATCCATTTGTTTTTGTATTAGCTATCGAAAGAAAATATGAACTGTTGTCTGTTCACGATATTGTTTGACACTATGGCAGGATTCCTTAATGCACAGTCAACTTTTGATATCTATTATATACAAATCTTTGAGTTGCCATGGATGCAAAATTCACATTCCCCCTCCACCCCAATACACAAAGTTCTGGTAATCAGATATTTATACCTCCTAAGCTTGCCCTCCTCTCTCAATAATCAACTCCCATTTAGCCACAAAGGCCATGTCCTTCTAATGTCAACAGTAAAATACTAAAAGAAGAAACTGGTCAGAAGTGCATACCCATTGTAGTGTGAATACCATGGCTGTCTTGCCGCCCATGCTGTGGCCAATTAAGACACACCTACTGAGATGCAGCTGGTGCAGAAAGAGATGGATGTCAGCACTCATTGCTTCGTAAGTCATGATGGGGCTGTGGGAGCTATCCCCATGGTTGCGGGCATCTACTGTCAGCACCTATCTGGGCAGGAGAAGAGGGAAACCAGCAGGTTGGCAAAGATGAGGCCTTACTTAGACTTTGACTAAATTACCAGAACTATATTTCAGTGTAGACATGAAGAAATTATGATGCACCAAGGAACAGCCTAGCTGTTGAATTTTCCAATAACCTTCTGGACACTCTTCAAAGGTAACTCCATTTAGTGCACATTTGTGTAGTCTATAGTTTAAACATAATGTCATCAATGCATAGATGAATATTATCAGGTCTGACCACCTCAGGAATGGTTGCAATAGATACAATTGAGGAAACGGCACAAAAGCTTAATTACTACTTCCATCCCATAGAGATTCAGGAACAGCTCTGGATCAAGGAGCACTTCAAAGCTGCAAACCTGGTCTTGCAGGGGGAGGTTAGCTCCTTTTAAATAGGTTGATTTTCCAAGCCTGGTTTTCTACTGGCCATCTCTCTCTTGCATAGTTTTATTATAAACTTCTTTGCTCTCAGCCAGGATTTAAAAGAAGAGAATAATTTAGAGCTTTGGGTTTTAATTCCAACCCAATCTGAACTCATTTTGAATCTTGGGAAAAGATATATCCTAGCTAAGTTTGCTGTCTAGCAAGCATTGCATAAGATTTGTATAAAGGTCACCATATTATAAAAATCAGCAGAATAACCTGCAGATTCAGTGTTGTAAAAAAGCAGAATAAATTATTTTAGATACAAAAAAGTTGTATTTCTGGTTTGATGCATTATGGACTATAAAGCTATTATCTTGTAATCTTTCCAATATTATTTGGAAAACTCATTCTTTGCACTCATTAGGTTGTCTCAGAGCATGAAATCTAATAAGAAAACCTAGATGACTCTTAGTTCAGTTCAGTTCAGTCCAATTCTACTTTCTCATGTAGCCAATGACTTACCTGCCTTGTGGTTCAACACCTTGTTCTTAATTAACATCCTCCCTTATCTTATATTCCTTATATACATTAACATCCATCTTATACACATATACTTCCCTTGTTCTTCTCTGCAGCACTATCTCCAACTTGATTTTTAATCCCTTCTGAATGTTTTGGGGTCGTTTATGAGATAGTAGACATGATGAAGCGGTAGCAAGAGACATTACTGAAAAGAACCAAGACTCTCTGAAGTGTTGAATTTAGAGCTACATAAAAAAACATAAAGGTCTATGGCTCACCTGAGATAGACTGAAAAATATTTTAAAATGTCCTGTTCAGCTATATAAAATCCTGCAGAAGAACTTCTGCCTATTCAATATAAAAATGGCTCCTCAAAGTGGCAGCAACTGACTTCCAAACCAGCAGCAACCCCTTCCCCAGCTGACCATACTCCATCTTTTACCCACCTTGCGACCAGTCTGGAGCACCAACTTTTTGGCAAGGGATGAAAAATTGGATTTGCTTCCAAATAGCCCATGCAGGAAAACAAGTGGAGGATCTGGTGAGGGTCCATCAAAAATGGCATAGGACAGAGGCACTGGCCTGTAAATAAAACAAAAGCTATGAACAGGATAATGGTTAGGCTAGAGACCTGGGCTGCAAAAATCTGGATGACTACTAGATGGCAAATAGTAGCAGATATATTCAGAAATTCTAACTCTTTGCTGCCATCTCATGGCTTTGATTTTTTCAACTGAGACCTGGTAGCCCCAGTTTGTAAAGATTATAAAGACAAATTAATGTAAGGACAGATTTATAAATGGCTATTAGCCAAGTTAGCTAAAAAGAACCTCCAGGTATTCAGGAAGTCAATCTCTAAATACTAGATAGTGGCAAGCTATTGTAAGAAAGAGTTATTTCACTTGTGCCCTGCTTGTGGGTTTCCTTGCAAAATCTGGTAGTCTCTGTAGGGACCAGCAAGATAGAATAAACAGACCACAAACAAGCTTTTGGTTATGATGTTCTATCTTTTCCCCTCAGGAGTCTTTGAGGCAGCTTACCATTCAACATAAATCCATTTCAAAAGAATCAATAAATAACAGCAATTAAAACAGTAATCATCTGAAAATGTTCTGCATCTGTATCTCTTTGCTGTCAACTACTGGTCTTCTGCATTTTTATAGCCCAAATTTGGTAACCCTTGTATGGGTATTTCAGACAGAAAATAGCTGGGCACTGCCACAAATTCTATGGAAAAGGGCACCAAATTTCATTTTAAGGAACAATCTCTAAAAGCCTCCCTAAGATCATAAAATGTCTCTGGAATCAATCCAAAATCAATGATGAAAGATCCATTACTTTTTCCTGTTGACACAGACCAGACACCATCATATTGAACTGTCAAACTATGTAAGAACAGCAACAAAGCATTGTTGGTAAATCTTAACTACACAAATAATGCAGTTTTTTTTTTTTAAGGAAGAGCTTTATTACTATGTCTCTTCATTTATCTACTTTCATGTCTGCAAGTTTCCCTTGAGATGACATATGAGTTCAAACGTTTTAAGCTGATGTCAGCCCCTTAAATGCTGGGCTGACATTAAACTTTTTTTTTTTACAGCTGGAAATGCAGATATGCTGGCTTGTTAACGGAGGTGGTGGCCTAGTTTACGGGGTTCCAGCAAGTCATCTTTATCCAGAACCTGCATTCCCCCTCCCACATTCGTATTTCTCTCGGCGTCACCTTGCTCCGATGCGGAGAGCAGGATTTGAGGGGGGGATGGCAATAACATGGGGTGCTTTATTCCCCTTGTCTAGCGCAGGTTTATTCGCACTTTTGTGGAGACCATTTCTGCTGCCCCATCACAGCTGATTCCCACAGAGCGGAGCTTACTAGGATGCCATCATTTTATATATGGTCTATCCTTTCCATCTCTATGATGACTACATCCGGCTCGTGGTCTTGACACAACCGGGAACATGGAGGCTTCATGCGCCGGCCGGGCCTTTGTAGGGGGTTCACTCTCCCCTTTCCAAGTTCCACTCCCTTCCCGAGCTCTTACATGATGGCGCGGCTGGCGAGACCCCTTCTTTCCCGGACTGGGCTGATGAGGCAGCATCGGAGCGTCTGGGCCCGCGCCCAGCGAGAAGGAGAACGCGGAAAGCCAAGAGCGCGAAGCATCATTGGGCGGGCGTAGCGGTCACCAAGGTGACAAAGACTAAATTAACGAGGGGACGTAGCCACAGATCCACTGCCGGGTCGGTTGCTAAGGTGATCCGATGCCATAGAAGAGGGTAATTTGTCTTGTTCCTTCCGGCTTTGTTGGACATGCCCACTGGCACTTGTGTGTCGCCAGGGGGAGCCACGAGTGCCCCTGTTCTTGTTTGGTTGATAATGAATCAAATTTCGGAACTACACAGAACTCTTTTTTCAAATAATACTTATAAAATACATATGAAAATCTGCGGGAAAACGTTATGATGAATACAGACCAATTTTTTAAAAACAAAGTTAGTCCCCCCAAGTCAGATAAAGTCTCTGAAACTGAACTCGATGCCTGCTGACTGTCGGGAAATACACCGCGGTCCCGAAGTGCGTTGCCATTGCTCTCTTCCGCAAGATTTTACAACTTCCCAATCTCGTTTTTACCCCTGGGATTCCCTGGAAGTCTCCCGTCTGAGTAGTAAACTTCTTAGGGTTTTTGAGGGTAGCTTAGCTCAGCCAAGTTTCTAGGGCAGCGGTTCTCAAAGTGTGCTCTAGGGACCCCTGGGGGTCCGTGAAGTCAAATAAATAAATATATTAAACTTTCTTAGTTTTAATTTCTAACACGGTAAATATTGATAGAACTCACCTAAACAAAAGCTCTTTGGGGTTCTCATTTTTAAGAACGTAAAGGGGTCCTGAGACCAAAATGTTTGAGAACCGCTGTTCTAGGGAGATAGGGAAAATTCAAATATGATTGTTTGAATCTCCTCCCTGTGCCGGTTCAGTCTCCATCTCCTCTGCGCAAGACATTCTAGCAAAGAAAAGCATTTGAACATTGAGCATTTCACTCAGCATTGCAAGACCAATCCATATCCACAAAAATGGATGTAGGCTTTAAGCTGTCTGTGACGCTATTTGCTTTGTGTTTTATTTAATATCTATAAAATATAAAAATGTTTTTACTAACTTTAAGATGACCCAGATTCATTTATTGATTGGATTAGTAGTATAATAAATATTAATAATATTTATTTATCATATTTATACAGCCACCCATCTCACACAAAGTGACTCTGGGTGGCGTACAACAATTAAAAAGAATAAATGCATAAAAAGCAATTACAAATAAACTGTAAAAACACACAAAAAAGGATGGGATAAAATTAATAAGGGAGCCATCACAAAATCTCGTTTTCAAGCAAGGGAGAGGCCATTTCCTGTTTATTTTTATAATTTGCTATTTCTTGCATCAGGGAAACTACAGAAACTTCTTCCTCCTTCTGCCTTCCTATACACAGAACTGTTGACAGTAATATATGGAATTAGACTGACTTTCTTTCTCAAGGAAATAGTAGCAAATAGTGAAGTCGCCTCTTATTTCACTCAAGCAAATAAAAATTGCTGGTCAAACAAGCAGAATAATGTAGTTGAAGACTTGGTACTACTATCAAACAGGACTATCTGTGTTACCATTTTCATGTGACAGTTACAAACCAGAGCCACATTTAAGGGTGTGGTAATCCTACTTTTTATTTCCAATTCCCCCTCTTTAATTCAACAGGGTGTTACAAACTAGATATAGCAACAGCTTGTCTCAGCAGGTGGCAGCATGCATCCAATTATTGCCTGAGCTTGGAAGCTAAGCAAGCTTGAGTTTGATGAGTACTAGAATTGGAGACCACCAGGGAATCTTAGGCTGTAGACAAGACTGGGAAATCAAAGAAGCATCTTAGAACAAGAAAATGGGAAACCACTTCCAAAACGTGGCTAAAAAAACCCTATATAGATTTGTCCATGTAACTGCCAGGAGCTGAACTTGACTTGAAGGTTTTATCATCAGAGCTGTAGAACAGGACACCACAATGGAACTACCTGTGCAGTGAGAGTATATCAGTGTTTGGAGTGATTATGATCATTCACAAGTTTCTTGGAAGGATTTGGCCGACTTATACATATTGTAAGGAGAGTATTAAAGTAGTCGGGTCTAATCCAGGTATAGAGTTATCTTCCTCAATATCCTGAGGCTTATAGGTCACATCCGGGTACCTTGCTTTTTTTTTTTTTGCTTCCTGACATCCCA